GTGGGGTGCTTAGGGGAGGGGGCGGGGCGGCGTGTCCGGGACGGACACGTCCATGGCAGCGGGCGGCGGCGCTCGTGACTCTGTTCCGAGTCGGAGCGGGCGACGGCGCAGGGCGATGGGCCGGGCCGGCTCGGCTGGGCCGTTGGCCCAGTCGGGCGCGCGAACATTTTTTTAAATAGATTTCACCGAACAAAACAAATCCTAGAAAGTAAAATAAAAATCTAAAAATACCAAAACAAATTTTCACCGTCTAAATAAAATATTTAGAATAGGATGAACATTTTTTTGGCCTAAAATGCAATTTTTGAAAACGTGCAATTTTTTCTAATACAAATTAAATTGCAATAAAATCCAAATAAAACTATTTATTTGATTTTAGTATATTTTCCTCGAATATTTCATTTATTATGGAGAAGTCATATTATCTCCTCTCATATATTTTAAATATGAAATATTTTTGAAAGGGAAAAATAAATAAACCAAAATGATCCTTGCTTTGATATTTGAGAAAAATCAAATATGAAAACGATGAAATCCCCAACTTTCTCCGTGGGTCCTTGAGTTGCTTAGAATTTCGAGGATTGTGGAACGAAATGCAATAAAATATGATATGCATGAATGATCTAACTATAACATTCCGAATTGGAAATTTGGGATGTTACACCATGGCTCTCATGGAGGGGAACAACAACAACAACGACAGAGAAACCAAGGAAGAGGGAGATCATCGGCTGGATGGAGAGGGTGTAATTGTCAAGAAGCAGAATGTCGCCATGGCCACGGGAACGGAGTTCTTGGACTGCCCTATCTGCTCCGCCCCCCTCAGCCCTCCCATTTTCTAGGTAATTGGATTGATGCAATTTCGTGTATGCTGTCACCGCAAAAATCATTGCTCTCTTCATGTTGATATGGTCAGTGCTCTTGTATGTGATGAAGTTAATTCTGAACCTTGTTGGGTTGATTATCTGTAGTGTGCAGTGGGGCATTTTGTGTGCTTGAACTGTCGCGACAAGCTCCTGGAGACAAAGGAGAACAAGGTTTGGGGTGTGTGCTCCAGGGACGTCTCGACCCGCTGCCATGACATGGAGCGTGTCGTCGACTCCATCATCGTGCCATGCTCATATGCCGTGCATGGGTGCGGCGACACAATCGCCTACCACAAGAAGAGGGCGCACGAGGAGGTGTGCTAGCACGTGCCATGCTTCTGCCCTGAGAAAGGTTGCGGCTTCGCAGGCACGACAGCGGCCCTCCTGGATCACTTCGCCGCGCAGCATGAGTGGCCAACGACACGCTTCCAGTACTACAAGGCATTTGACGTACCCGTGAAGGCCAGCATGCACATGCTCCGTGGCGGCGAGGATGGCCTATTCTTTCTGCTTCACGTGGCGTCCCTGGACTCTGATACGTCTCCAACGTATCTATAATTTTTGATTGTTTCATGCTATTATATTATCTGTTTTGGATCTTTATGGGCTTTACTATACACTTTTATATTATTTTTGGGACTAACCTATTAACCGGAGGCCCAGCCCATATTGCTGTATTTTTGCCTATTTCAGTGTTTCGAAGAAAAGGAATATTAAACGGTGTCCAAACGGAATGAAACCTTCAGGAGAGTTTTTTTTGGAACGGAAGCAATCCAGGAGACTTGGAGTAGACGTCAGGGAAGCTTCGAGGTGGCCACGAGGGTCAGGGGCGCGCACTACCCCTTGGGCGCGCCCCCACCCTCATGGGCCCCTCGTGGCTCCCCTGACCGACTTCTTTCGCCTATATATATATACATATACATATATATGTATATATATATATACCCTAAAAACATCGAGGAGCACAATAGATCAGGAGTTCCGCCACCGCAAGCCTCATTAGCCACCAGAAACCAATCGGGACCCTGTTCCGGCACCCTGCCGGAGGGGGGATCCCTCACCGGTGGCCATCTTCATCATCCTGGCGCTCTCCATGACGAGGAGGGAGTAGTTCACCCTCGGGGCTGAGGGTATGTACCAGTAGCTATGTGTTTGATCTCTCTCTCTCTCTCTCTCTCTCTCTCTCTCGTGTTCTTGAGGTGAGATGATCTTGATGTATCGCGAGCTTTGCGATTATAGTTGGATCTTATGATGTTTCTCCTCCTCCACTCTCTTGTAATGGATTGAGTTTTCCCTTTGAAGTTATCTTATCGGATTGGGTCTTTAAGGATTTGAGAACACTTGATGTATGTCTTGCATGTGCTTATCTGTGGTGACAATGGGATATCACGTGATCTACTTGATGTATGTTTTGGTGATCAAATTGCGGGTTCAGTGACCTTGTGAACTTATGCATAGGGGTTGGCACACATTTTCGTCTTGTCTCTTCGATAGAAACTTTGGGGCACTCTTTCAAGTACTTTGTGTTGGTTGAATAGATGAATCTGAGATTGTGTGATGCATATCGTATAATCATGCCCATGGATACTAGAGGTGACACTGGAGTATCTAGGTGATATTAGGGTTTTGGTTGATTTGTGTCTTAAGGTGTTATTCTAGTATCAACTCTATGATAGATTGAACGGAAAGAATAGCTTTGTGTTATTTTACTACGGACTCTTGAATAGATAGATCAGAAAGGATAACTTTGAGGTGGTTTCGTACCCTACAATAATCTCTTCGTTTGTTCTCCGCTATTAGTGACTTTGGAGTGTCTCTTTGTTGCATGTTGAGGGATAGTTATATAATCCAATTATGTTATTATTGTTGAGAGAACTTGCACTAGTGAAAGTATGAACCCTAGGCCTTGTTTCCTAGCATTGCAATACCGTTTGTGCTCACTTTTATCATTAGTTACCTTGCTGTTTTTATATTTTCAGATTACAAAAACCTACATCTACCGTCCATATTGCACTTGTATCACCATCTCTTCGCCGAACTAGTGCACCTATACAATTTACCATTGTATTGGGTGTGTTGGGGACACCAGAGACTCTTTGTTATTTGGTTGCAGGGTTGTTTGAGAGAGACCATCTTCATCCTATGCCTCCCATGGATTGATAAACATTAGGTCATCCACTTGAGGGAAATTTGCTACTGTCCTACAAACCTCTGCACTTGGAGGCCCAACAACGTCTACAAGGAGAAGATTGCGTAGTAGACATCAAGCTCTTTTCGGGCGCCGTTGCCGGGGAGGTGAGTGCTTGAAAGTATATCCTTAGATCTTGCAATCGAATCTTTTAGTTTCTTGTTTGATCACTAGTTTAGTTTATAAAATAAAACTACAAAAAAATGGAATTAAGTTTGCCTCATACGCTTCATCTTTTTTATATCTTTCGTGAGAATGATGGATAGGAAAATGGTGCTCATGTGCTAGAAGAAGAAGTCTATAAAATGTTTGGCACTAAATCTTTGAATGATGAGCATGATTGCAATGTTGTTAGTATGAATTCCTTGAATATCCATGATGCTAATGATATGCAAAGCTACAAGCTTGGGGAAGCTATGTTTGATAAAGATGATATTTTTTGTCCCCCATGTTTTGATGAGCAAATTTATTATGACGAAAGCATGCCTCCTATTTTTGATGAGTATTGTGATGACACGTATGCTATAAAGAATAAATATAACCATGAAACTTGTCATCTTGATTTTAATTTTCAATTGGATTATGCTTCACATGATAGTTATTTTGTTGAGTTTGCTCCCACTACTATTGATGAGAATAAATTTGCTTATGTGGAGAGTAATAAAAATTATATGCTTGTGGCTCATGAAAACAATGCTTTAGTGATAGTTACATTGTTGAATTCATTCATGATGCTATTGAAAATTATTATGAGAGAGGAATATATGCTTGTAGGAATTGCAATAATATCAAGTTTCCTCTCTATGTGTTGAAAATCTTGAAGCTATGCTTGTTTTACCTTCCTATGCTAGTTGATTCTTGTTCCCATAAGTTGTTTGCTCACAAAATCCCTATGCATAGGAAGTGGGTTAGGATTAAATGTGCTAGTCATATGCTTCATGATGCTCCTGTTATGTTTCAATTCTTATCTTTTATGTGAGCATCATTGAAATCATCATGCCTAGCTAAAAGACATTAAAAAAAGGGCTTGTTGGGAGACAACCCAATATTTACCCTTACTTTTTTTATGTGTCCACATGATTATGCTACTGTAGTAATCATGTTTTATAGCTTTTGTTTCAATAAAGTGCCAAGTAAGACCTTTAGGATAGCTTACCGTGATAGTTGTGTTGATCCTGCTGAAAATAAGAAACTTTTGCACCCAGTAAATTAGTTTTGATAATTCACAGAGACGTGCTTTTGATCTGATTCTTTTTGCTACGGATTGGTACACACATTTCTCAGGATTTCCTAATTTGGTAGGATTTTTGGAGTTCCAGAAGTATATGTTTGATACAGATTACTACAGACTGTTCTATTTTTGACAGATTCTATTTTCTATGTGTTGTTTGCTTATTTTGATGAATCTATGAGTAGTATCGGAGGGTATGAACCATAGAAAAGTTGGAATACAGTAGGTATTACACCAATATGAATTTAGAATGAGTTCACAACAGTACCTAAGTGGTGATTTATTTTCTTATGCTAACGGAGCTTACGAGTTTTCTGTTGAGTTTTGTGTTGTGAAGTTTTCAAGTTTTGGGTAAAGATTCGATGGACTATGGAATAAGGAGTGGCAAGAGCCTAAGCTTGGGGATTCCCAAGGCACCGCAAGGTAAAATTCAAGGACAACCAAAAGCCTAAGCTTGGGGATGCCCCATAAGGCATCCCCTCTTTCGTCTTCGTCTATCGGTAACTTTACTTGGAGCTATATTTTTATTCATGACATGATATGTGTTTTGCTTGGAGCGTCTTGTATGATATGAGTCTTTGCTTTTTAGTCTACCACAATCATCCTTGCTGTACACACCTTTTGGGAGAGAGACACATGATTCGGAATTTATTAGAATACTCTATGTGCTTCACTAATATCTTTTGAGCTAGACAAGATTTTGCCCTAGTACTTCACTTATACTTTTTAGAGCACGGCGGTGGCTTAATTTTGTAGAAATTATTGATCTCTCATGCTTCACTTACATTATTTTGAGAGTATTTTAGAACAGCATGGTATTTGCTATGGTTATAAAATTGGTCCTAGAATGATGGGCATCCAAGTTGGGTATAATAAAAACTATCATAGAAAGTGCATTAAACACTATGATCAATTTGATGCTTGATAATTGTTTTGAGATATAAAGGTGGTAATGTTAGAGTCATGCTAGTTGGGTAATTATGAAATTGAGAAATACTTGTGTTGAAGTTGGCAAGTCCCGTAGCATGCATGTATGGTAAAAGTTGTGTGACAAATTTGTTGCATGGGGTGCTCTTTTAATTGTCTTCCTTATGTGTGGAGGTCGGGATTGCGCGATGGTTAACTCCTACCAACCATTCCCCTAGGAGCATGCGTAGTACTACTTTGCTTCGAGGGCAAGTAAACTTTTGCTATAAGTATATGAGTTCTTTATGACTAATGTGAGTCCATGGATTATACGCACTCTTACCCTTCCACCATTGCTAGCCTCTATTATGCCGAGCAACCTTCGCCGGTATCATGCACCCACCATTTACCTTCCTCAAAACAGCCACCATACCTACCTATTATGGCATTTCCATAGCCATTCCGAGATATATTGCCATGCAACTTTACACTGTTCCGTTTATTATGACACGCCCCATCATTGTCATATTGCTCTTTGCATGATCATGTAGTTGACATTGTATTTGTGGCAAGGCCACCTCCATAATTTTTCATACATGTCACTCTTCGTTCATTGCATATCCCGGTACACCGCCGGAGGCATTCACGTAGAGTCATATTTTTTTCTAAGTATTGAGTTGTAATTTTTGAGTTGTAAATCAATAAAAGTGTGATGATCTTCATTATTAGAGCATTGTCCCAAGTGAGGAAAGGATGATGAAGACTATGATTCCCCCACAAGTTGGGATGAGACTTCGGACTTTATAAAAATAAAAGAGGCCAAAGAAGCCCATACAAAAAAAAGAGGCCAAAGAAGCCCATCAAATAAAAAAATAGAAAGAAAAAAATGAGAGAAAAGAGAGAAGGGACAATGTTACTATCTCTTTTTCCACATTTGTGCTTCAAAGTAGCACCATGATCTTCATGATAGAGAGTCTCCTATGTTATCACTTTCATATACTAAGTGGGAATTTTTCATTATAGAACATGGCTTGTATATTCCAATGATGGGCTTCCTCAAAATGCCCTCGGTCTTCGTGAGCAAGCAAGTTGGATTCACACCCACTTAGTTTCTTTTGTTGAGCTTTCATATATTTATAGCTCTAGTGCGTCCGTTGCATGGCAATCCCTACTCACTCACATTGATATATATTAATGGGCATCTCCATAGCCCGTTGATATGCCTAGTTGATGTGATACTATCTTCTCCCTTTTTGTCTTCACAACCACCACCCTATTCCACATATAGTGCTATGTCCATGGCTTGCGCTCATGTATTGCGTAAGAGTTGAAAAAGCTGAAGTGCGTTAAAAAGTATGAACCAATTACTTGGCTGAAACCGGGGTTGTGCATGATGGGAGTATTTTGTGTGATGAAAATGAAGCATGGCCTAACTATATGATTTTGTAGGGATGAGCTTTCTTTGGCTATGCTATTTTGATAAGACATGATTACTTGTTAGTATGCTTGGAGTATTACTATTTTTATGTTTTATGAACTTTTATCTTGAATCATTTGAATCTAAACATTCATGCCACAATAAAAAAAATTAAATTGAGAATTATGCTAGGTAGCATTCCACATCAAAAATTCTGTTTTTATCATTTACCTACTCGAGGACGAGCAGGAATTTAGCTTGCGGATGCTGATACGTCTCCAAGGTATCTATAATTTTTGATTGTTTCATGCTATTATATTATCTGTTTTGGATGTTTATGGGATTTACTATACACTTTTATATTATTTTTGGGACTAACCTATTAACCGGAAGCCCAGCCCATATTGTTGTTTTTTTGCCTATTTCAGTGTTTCGAAGAAAAGGAATATCAAACGGATTCCAAACGGAATGAAACCTTCGGGAGAGTTATTTTTGGAATGGAAGCTATCCAGGAGACTTGGAGTAGACGTCAGGGAGGCTTCGAGGTGGCCACGAGGGTCAGGGCGCGCCCCCCACCCTCGTGGGCCCCGCGTGGCTCCCCCGACCGACTTCTTTCACCTATGTATATCCATATACCCTAAAAACATCGAGGAGCACAATAGATCGGGAGTTCCACCGCCGCAAGCCTCTGTAGCCACCAAAAACCAATCGGGACCCTGTTCCGGCACCCTGCCGGAAGGGGGATCCCTCACCGGTGGCCATCTTCATCATCCTGGCACTCTCCATGACGAGGAGGGAGTAGTTCACCCTCGGGGCTGAGGGTATGTACCAGTAGCTATGTGTTTGATCTCTCTCTCTCTCTCTCTCTCTCTCTCTCGTGTTCTTGAGCTGATATGATCTTGATGTATCGCGAGCTTTGCTATTATAGTTGGATCTTATGATGTTTCTCCCCCACCACTCTCTTTTAATGGATTGAGTTTTCCCTTTGAAGTTATCTTATCGGATTGAGTCTTTAAGGATTTGAGAACACTTGATGTATGTCTTGCATGTGCTTATCTGTGGTGACAATGGGATATCACGTGATCTACTTGATGTATGTTTTGGTGATCAACATGCGAGTTCAGTGACCTTGTGAACTTATGCATAGGGGTTGTCACACGTTTTCGTCTTGACTCTTCGATAGAAACTTTGGGGCACTCTTTGAAGTACTCTGTGTTGGTTGAATAAATGAATCTGATATTATGTGATGCATATCGTATAATCATGCCCACGGATACTTGAGGTGACATTGGAGTATCTAGGTGACATTAGGGTTTTGGTTGATTTGTGTCTTAAGGTGTTATTCTAGTATCAACTCTATGATAGATTGAACGGAAAGAATAGCTTTGTGTTATTTTACTATGGACTCTTGAATAGATAGATCAGAAAGGATAATTTTGAGGTGGTTTCGTACACTATAATAATCTCTACGTTTGTTCTCCGCTATTAGTGACTTTGGAGTGACTCTTTGTTGCATGTTGAGGGATAGTTATATGATCCAATTATGTTATTATTGTTGAGAGAACTTGCACTGGTGAAAGTATGAATCCTAGGCCTTGTTTCCTAGCATTGCAATACCGTTTGTGCTCACTTTTATCATTAGTTACCTTGCTGTTTTTATATTTTCAGATTACAAAAACCTATATCTACCGTCCATATTGCACTTGTATCACCATCTCTTCGCCGAACTAGTGCACCTATAAAATTTACCATTGTATTGGGTGTGTTGGGGACAAAAGAGACTCTTTGTTATTTGGTTGCAGGGTTGTTTGAGAGAGACCATCTTCATCCTACGCCTCCCACGGATTGATAAACCTTAGGTCATCCACTTGAGGGAAATTTGCTACTGTCCTACAAACCTCCGCACTTGGAGGCCCAACAACGTCTACAAGGAGAAGGTTGCGTAGTAGACATCAGACTCCACACCACTGCACGAGATCTCGCTGGTCTGTATCGGGCAGCACACGGCACCGTAATCCAAGTTCGGGTGCTCCGTGGGCTTCTCCTGGTTCAAGGGCCATTACCAGGCCTCAACGCTGGATACGATCAGGAGCACGTCGCTTTCTGACAGACTGCCGACAAACTACTTCCTCACCGTTCCCAAGGCTTGCCGTGGAGGTGGCACCCGTGTCGTGCTTAGCGTGACAATTGATACAGAGATGGTGTATGGAGACGATGACGAACTAGAGGAGGAGGATGAGGACGATGAGAGCTACAACAAGGAGGAAGATGAGGACGAGGACAACGATGAAGACGAAGATGATGAGACTAGCGACGAGGATGATGAGAGCTACAACAACAAGGAGGAGGAGGCACAGGAGGATGAGGATAGTGATAACCATGAGGATAATGAGACTAGCGACGAGGATGACGAAATTTGGGAGGAGGTTAGGCACAACGATTACTATTGATGCATAGGCATCGACGGCACTGTCCCAATATCCATGGTGAATCCACAAGATGTTAGATCTTTGGAAATTTGGTTGTTACGGTGCTTTACGGTGTTGAGTTGCACAATGTGTTCCTCTTAAATTGGAGTTGCACAGTGTGTTAGGCTGACTGATTATACCGTTACTTGTTGCTCTGGCTCATGCTCAACTTTTGTCATGGAAATGTTGTAACCCTCGAGTGAGTGAAGTATCTATGTTCATTTGATCTTGACACAACTATGTTTCTTTTGGGGAATATGAACTGTGATGCTTTTAGTATTAATATGTTATTCAAAATTTTGTGAATATTTTTTGTACTGTTATTATATTTTTAACAAGTAGATTAAATGGCATCGTTGTTCATCTTCCCAAACTGTTTTCTATTCTAATCATCAAGGGTGCAACATTTACTATTGTAAGCTTTGCATCAGCCTTCAGTAGTCGTCAAGGGTGCAACATTTACTACTGTATGGTTTGCATCAGTCATCGGTAGTCGTTGAGGGTGCAACATTTACTACTGTATATGAGACACACTTAAACAACCATTAGCAGGTAGAGAAGCAAGATGGATGAGTACCTGGGTGACGGCACAGAGGTAGAGGGGGGCATGGCCTTGTTGCCGCTGATAGTCGGATCTGCCCCCGGTGGCGCTTCTCCATGGACTCACCATATCTCCCTCTCCCTCCTCTCTTCATCTCGCCCTTCTCTCCCCTTCTCTGGCTGAGGACGACGCCGCGGACGGGCCACTGCCAATATGTCCGCAACTTTCGCTCGAGTGAGAGGGGATGAGAAGGAGAGAGGGCCGCCACGCACTGACCTTCGATTTGTAGACGCCTCTTCGAACGGCCTTGAGCATGGTTGGCTGCTCCCCCTCCCCGCCTCTTAACGCGAACACTCCTCTTCTCGTTTGGGACAACAGCCACGCCGGTGACCTAGGTCTGGCAGATCGACGGAGCCGACGTGGCCCTGACAGGTGTCACGCGCCGAAGGGCGAGGAGGATGACGCTGCCGCCGTCTGCCCTTCTCCTCCCATCCCCGCTCCGCTTTGCACTACCTGACATGCTGCTCGATCTGGTGCGAGAGGGAGGAGAGGTCATCGATGGTGAAGAGAAGCTAAGGGCAGGAGAAAAGGGGTGGGAGAGTCAGCCGCTGGGGAGGACGTGGCTGATTGCGGCGGCTGCAGGGAGGTCGCCGGTGGCGGCGGCGGCAACAAGGAAAAGGAGAGGGAGAGGAATCGGGGGATGGGGACTGGGGACCAATCCCTTTCTCTCGTCGCTGGCCAATCCCTCTCTGCCTTTCTTGTAGAAGTAAACCTTTTTGTCTTCTAGCTAATCCGACGTGGACGTCGCTAGAATGTGCCCTTTGGGCGACTGTTAATGGGTTCATTGGGTGGCTAGTGCAAATCATTTTACCTTTATTTTTCAAACTTGACCCTGCAAAGCAATGAGTGCAGTGCTAGCTGTGAACTGCTATTGCTTGTCTCCTTCCCATGACGGCATTACGCCCTTTGTCAAAATCGATTCGGCGAGGCCGTTTGTGGAGAAGAATCATCAAGCCAAACGACGTCCAAATGCCATGGGGTTTTCCACAACCCTAGGCCGCCGCCACGCGAAAAATGCTCTGCCGCTGCTTCCCCCTCTGGCTGTCCAAGTGTGGCGGGGACTTCTTCTTGGAGAAGCAGCACCGCGTGGTGGTCTTTGTCCGGGGACAGTTGCCGACAATAGAGGGGTGGTCAGTGGTGCTGTGACGTAACTGCTGCATGGTGGCGACTCATATGGCCAACATGCGTCATAGGTGATTTGAGGATTTATCATCTGCCTCGATTGTGTGTGCACCCGCCCTACAAAAACGTGGGCACACCATTTTTTGATGAAGGATTTCGCAATCTCCTCGCCGGGCGCAAAATTAGGAGGGCAACTAAACATTGGCTCAGATCCAATTTTTTGAGGACTTATCCTAATGCATGCCCTGCCCATTGGGAAAACCAATAATTTGGTAAGGTTACTTCCACTGCCATTAGTTTCATTTCCTTGTTTCTATTTTAATAAATTTATGATTGCGTGCATTTGAGAAAAGCAAAGACCAAGGGTTTCTTCCCCGGATACGGCCCTTCGCGTGCCCCATCCTGCTCCCAATACGGCTACAAGGGACTGTCGAAGTGTGGCATGCTCTCCTTCTCAGAGGAGCGGCACCAGGAAGAGGCCGTCGTCGGGCAGTGGGCGATGGCGACCGTGACTACGACATGGTGGTGATCCCTATGGTCCGATGGTGCGTCATACGTGATTTGGGCATTTAATTAGGGGCCCTTCTGGATTGTGCGTGCACCGCCCTCCCTTCTATAACGTGCAAATTCACAGAAGAGGATGTTGCAGCCACGTGAATACCAATATTTTGGTAGGATAAGTCTCGTCTGCCATCCACTTTGTAAGTAGATTGGTTTGGTGTCGATGACTTGTTTCTATTTTAATATATAAAGATTATTTTGTTAGAAAATGGATATTTTTCATCTCATAAAGGTCAGCCATAACAAAAAGAATTATGGCCACGTGTAGTAGAAGTTACTAGTTGAACACAGCATTTTTTTATGCAAGGAATTTTTTTTCCATCAGATAGCAATGGAGTACACAAAATGCATGCATTTCTTACATGGGACTGAGCTCTACTCTTTACTTGAGATAGAACCCGTCAGAACAAGCCGCTGTACATGTCCGCGGACATTTAGAGAGGTCCGTTTTCATCGACTTGCCTTAATAGAGTGCAATTTTCACTTGAGCAATAAAACACAATCTTATTTGAAAGGACGATGCATTTGGACTATACTAGAATGTAAGAATATGGTTTATACCGAGGCTCCTCCCTTATAAAATAGAAGAGATTCAATCAGCTTCCTCTGTCCCACACATCCGTCACACAGCATTACACAGGCCAAAACTGCATGCCTCCTGAGGGCATGAACAGTGATGGCATATGGATACATATGTCTCGTGGGAAAAAGAAATTTGAGGCAGCTACATTGATTTTTCTCCCCAATGCAAGCTATCACTAGTGTGCCTCATCAAGGAATAGAAAGTAGAGACTAGTACACATGAATCTCTACTCTCCACTTCAATTTTGTCAGCTTTTTACACTGGACCACACTTTTTCTCTTCAAGCACCCGCCTCCTGCAGAGGATCCCGCTTCCCCATCGGAACCTATTTCTCCTGACATCCAATTCTACATGGCATGTGGGGCATCACCCTAGGGCTATGCATTGGCCATGTCCCGAGGCGATGGATCACATGCCACAGTAGTAGAGGACAACATCGGTACAGGAGTGAAGAGGCATCAGCAAGAACCCGGCAAATTAAGTAAGTAGTACTCCTTCCCGAACTAGCAAACCAAGCAAAACATATGGTAATGCTAATGTAGTAGACTACAGGCATGACCTGCAAAGTATTTTCTACTCAACTCTCCTTTTGAAACTTGACCCTGCAAAGAAATGAATGCAGTGTTGTGAACTGCTCGTGCTTGTCTCGTTGCCATGACGAAATCATGGCATGTCCGGCGATACATGCTACTCTACTTGTTGGTGTCGTTCCCGCCCCTAGAGAAAAATCCCCAAGCCAAAGGATGTTCAATGGATTCACTCTTTAGTAACTTTAGATGATACCAAGAGAATATTGAGTAACACACAAGAATATGCATACAACCATTTGATACATACATCATGGATTGGTGAGGATCCAAAATAAATCCCATTCATAACAAGATTCAAAGACAGGGGAAATGACACTAGGCATCCAAATAAAAAAAGTTGTTCAAATACTTGTAAACTGTGGCCCACTCTTACAATTTGTCATGATCCGTAACACTCCATATGAAGAATCATCCTCATCAATATGGAAGTTTTCCTTACCTATACAAGAATGAGAAGAGAAACTTAGAATCAATAAAACAAACAACAAAAGCTAATTTGGAACAACATTAACTGAAAAGCAAGTATATTTAAGTTTGTGATTACGTATTTCGAAATAATAATGTGGCATGGATTGAAGTAGTATATCACAAATACTAAGTGATGCAATATTTTACAATAAAACTAATTGCAGCGTATTTCAGGTGTAAAGCATGATGTATCCTAAAGCATCAAGCCGCTCCACTGAACACTAAATCCGCAGACATCATCTCCAACAGATAAAGTGGAAAAAGGACTCACCTCCTATTATTGAGTCTCACAAACAAATAATGAATGTATCACATTTCCCACATTAGACATGATCGCTATCTCTGGCCATCAATGTTAACTGGATGTGAACTGCTTTCAAGATATTTCTCCTACTGAATGGATGCAAACTAATACATAATTTTAGTTCTGCAACCAATGGAGCATCAAAATATTGTACTAATAGGAAACAATTATTTACGATTCAAAGCAGCGACCTCAGCTTCTTGTGCCGGTTCTTCTTGCAAAAGCAAGGAAACAAATATATCTATTTATATATGTTGCTACATTCTGGTAGGAATAAATAAGCGATACAAAAGCACCTAACAAAGAAACAAGGTCTAACAATAATTTACCATGCCTTCCTTAAATGGGCAAGATCCAGCAGGCAAGAAACGTGCTCCGACAAATGAAAAAATTAAGACCAATTATTACAATTAACATCAATGTCTCCAGTTGTTAACAGTGAAAATTGAAGCACATATATGCATTGTACATAAGTAATGTATTTGGCCACCTCAGGGAATCATTTCATGTATCAGTTAATAGGAAAAGAAAAATAGTAGGGAACATATTTAA